ACATCCATTCATAACTGGGTTTCGCTTTTCACATGTCTCTGGCAGCCCCCAGGGAATGACACAACCAAGCACAGAGATCTTGCTGGAGAAGCCTGCCTTCTCACAAAGGTGTCTGGCCAGCACTTGGCATACTCTGCTTGCTTAGAAGCAAGACTTTTTCACATCCATCATGTCTTACCATTGACCTATCACATCTGCCTGCCCTGGCTGCATCAGGCTGGACCCATCTGTCTTCCTGTCACCTTTTCTGCAGCTGGAGGGGGTGTGGCCAGGTTATTTATTATCTTTGTGAGCTCTGCAGGCCTGCTGTTGGAAAGTTCCATTTTGTTTTCTTCTAGCGCTAGTTTATGTGCTTTGGATCAGGAGCAGCTCCTGAGGGGTGACTTGGGCTTCCTGCCACCCTCTGTCTTGTATGACTAAGAGGTCCCCTCAGAGCCACTCCTGAACCAGGACCCCTGGCTGCTGCTCCATCCTGCAAAATGAAAAGTGCCCTCAGCAAACATCAGGTACCAGGAACGGAGCCCGCTTTGCCAACTCCCTGTCTCTTTCCCTCCACAGTGATCACCTCGAGATCCTCCTCCCTGAAGACACACCAGCCCCTTGGCTCAGCCCCAACGACTGTGGCCGAGGGGAAAGTATGTCCCTGACTTTGCTCAGAGGACCTTAGTCTCTCTCGGATGAGCCTATTAATTGGTCTGTTTTTCCCCCACTTCCTGTCAAATGCAGGAAATTAGATTTGACCTCTGCTCTGATCACTCTAAAATTATTCTTGGCACTAGAGACTTCCAGCCTTTGTAATCAGAGCATCTATTATCACCGTGATTAACGCCGATGTTCTGATGGGGCGAGCTCCATCAAAGGCAAAAGCGATTTCCGTGATTCCCCGTCCCCATGTTGAGTGCAGATGTCTTTAAATAGAGTGAAATCATCTTTAATAAGCATGCATCAGCGTTCAGATGGCTCTGGGGGGCATTAGCAGATTCCCAGCAAAATACCCTGTGCCAAACCACCTTATGGACCCTTTCAGGCCCCACAGGGAAGAGGCAGGGAAAACTTCAAAGTCAGCCCAATTCGCAACCAAACCATTATGTATTTAGGAGACTCGGAAATGTGATGCTGTGTTTTTCTCAGCACTAATGGGACACCATGCACGTCTCAGGCACATTAAAAGGAAGAGGGAGACAGAGACAGCAGAAAGCCACTGCACTCCGAGATAGAAGAGACACTCAAATGAAGGCCTCTCGGCTTCTAATTCTAAAGAGGAATTGACTTGGGTCACACATAAATTATATAATATAGTTAGTGGCTATACATAACAAGACTTCTTTTTTAAAAATATTCTTTTATAAAATTTAGAAAAATGAGAACAATATAAAACTAGTGGAAAATTTGACCATGTTTAGAATTACTCTGCAGGGAAGCTGCTGCATGGTTTGGAGCCTCGACTTTTTTTCCAGGCATAAAATAAGATTGAGGATTACCCATACAAGGCTTTTGGATCCGTTACCTGGACTGTTTGCAAAGCATATGGGTTCATTTCACATGTATAGAGCCCATATTTACAAATACAGTCATGCATCGCTCAATGACAGGGATATGTTCTAAGAAATGTGTTGCTAGGCGATTCAGCCTGTGAAATCAGAGTGTATTTACACATACCTGGATGGTCTAGTCTCTTACACTTAGGCTATGTGGTCTAGCCCAGGCATGTCCAACCCACGGCCCGTGGACTAACCCAGGACAGCTAGTCATCTTTTGACATCATATGTTTTTTTAGCATTTATTTTCTTCATGACCCATGCATAGTTCCATTTTTGAAGTTCACAATCACATCTTATTAATGATATCACTTTTTGGCAGCACATAGATCTGTGAGCAGCTGTTTTCAATCATGAAGCACACGGAGAGCAAGATTCGAACACACATTTCTGACGAGCACCTTGAGAGCATACTCAGAATTACCACCACCGCTTCCATGGAACCAGACATGGAATTAGTTTTACAAAAACAAGGTCAAATTTTCCACTAGTTTTATATTGTTCTCATTTTTCTAAATTTTATAAAAGAATATTTTTAAAAAAGAAGTCTTGTTATGTATAGCCACTAACTATATTATATAATTTATGTGTGACCCAAGTCAATTCCTCTTTATTTGATGTGGCCCAGGGAAGCCAAAAGGTTGGGCACCCTGGTCTAGCCTGTTGCTCCTAGACTATAAACCTGTACACCATGTTACTGTACTCAATACTGTAGGAAATTGTAATGCATATCACTAGGGGATAAGAATTTTTCAGCTCCATTAGAATCTATGGGGCCACTGTTGTATATATGTGGTCCATTGTTGACTGAAAAGCCACTGCGCGACACATGACTATATACGAGGGAGAACCCCAAAAACCCCGGAATTTACTTTTAAAAATTGTGTACTTTATGTTCAAACTTTAGCCACCTTCAAAGTACTCTTCAGTTGATGCAAAATACCTATTAAGACACTTTTTCCACTACACTTTTTGAACTGGTCCATTTTGATGCCTTTTAGTGTTTCTGCCGTCTTTGGTTTCACCTCTTCCACAATGGCAAAATGTTTCCCCTTCAGGACATTTTCATCCAGGAAACCAAAGAATGTTGCTCAGGGCAAGATTAGTTGAATAGGGAGAGTAGGGCATGGGGGTCATGCTGTTTCTGGTGAAAAATTGGACACACGGTGAGGTGTAGGCTGGTGCATTGTCATGGTGGAAGAACCAGTCACCTGTTTGCCACAACTCAGGACATTTCTTCCGCAAATCATGATGCATTTTTCTCAAAACTTCCAGATAAAAACTTTGGTGTCTGTTTGATCTGGAGGAACAAATTCCGAGTGTACTACTAAAAGGGTCCCACCCTCTAAAAGATGATTCCTGGTTTTTTGGGGTCACCCCTCATATCTACTCAGAGTCATGGAGGAGTCAATAATTATAACCCCTGTAATTACATCACCTTTGTCATTTTTTTTTTTTTTTTGAGTTGGAGTCTCACTCTGTCACCCAGACTGGAGTGCAATGGCCGCTCCCAGCCACGGCAGCCTCGACCTGTTGGGCTCCGGTGATCCTTCCGCCTCAGCCTTCCAAGTAGCTGGAACTACATGCGCGCACTACCACGCCCGGCTAATTTTTGATTTATTGTAGAGATGAGGTCTCACCAAGTTGCCCAGGCGCATCTCCAACCCGTGGTCTCAGGCAATCCACTCAGCTCAGCCTCCCAAAGCGCTGGGATTACAAGCTGAGCCACCGAGCCCGGCCACCTTTGTCATTTTTGCCAAACACTTCACCCAGAGCCCAGTACAGAGACTGTGCTCAGTAAATATTTGTGAAATGAGTGGGCGAAATCCTCAGGAAATTGAAATCTAACCAGAGGTCACAGAGAAGTACCTAAGTAACTGTGCTACCAGGTGGAATGCGAAAAGCATGTTAAGAGAAGAACAAATGAAGACTTAAAGTCAAAGGGGGAGGTAGGTGACATACAGTTGCAGGAAGGACAGAAAAGTTGTGCATGGAGGCCTCGGGTATGACCCGGGCTTTGATGGCTGGTGCAACGTCAGCGAGGAGGGAGAGTGAGCTCCTTCCAGAGAGAAGCCAGAGCCCCCACAGAGGGTAGAGAAGGGAAGGAGAGAGACGTTCAGCCATAACTCGTGTGCCCAGGCGGGGGAGGGAGGGTGGCACTCAGGAAAGCAGGGCCACAGATAGGGAACCTCCTTCCCTGATACAGGTCAGCCTCAGGGCCTGGCACTAGCCCCTCTCAGACCACACCCTTGCCCCTCCAGAAGGCAAGCACTGCCATGTCACACTCGATGAGCTGCGTCCTGGTCAAATCACTAGCAAGGACAGCTCCAGGATCTGCTCTAGGTCTCTCTGACCCCAAAGCTTTTCTCCCTCTCCATCTAGGAAGGAAAGATAACATCAAGACCAAAAAGAGCCCTTGACCTTGAGTTAGAGTGTGAACTCAGTGCATAGCAAGGGGGACCCATTGGGATTTTGAGTGAGAGATGGGCACAGACAGAACTGGGTCTTACAGGTCTCGCAGAGAACATGAGGAAGTGGCACTTGTACGTGCTAAAAACAACAGTGCGTGGCGCAGAAAAGACTCACTGGGACACCACTGCAGGGCGTTGGGTGAGAGGTTCTGGGGTTGGGATCAGGGGTGGAACGGAGGGGAATAACATGAGAGATGTCCTGCTAAGAGCTTCAGAATAATTAAACGGGGAGGAAGAACAGGGAGGAGATAGAGATGGGTTTCAGAAATGGGGGAGAAGCTGGCACTAGAGAAAGACCTTTACCAGGGACCAGCCATGGGCCAGGCACGGGTTAGGCCCTTTGCGGTCAAGGAATTCACAGCCTAGTGAGGGAGATCTGGGGACGTACTTGGACAGACCCAGAGGGCTGCGGAGACGCCCGGTGTATGCCTGGGGCAGTGAGTGAGGGGACATCTTCTTTCTGCAGTATAGACAGGGGATGGTTCTGATTCACATCCTGCAGAGACCAAGAACGAGGACCAAAATGCACCTCAATTCTGCCATGTCTGTCATTCCAGTGTGAAGCCAACAGAGGCAGAATGGACCCCAACTTGTTGGTCTCCCAGTATACGAGGCCCACTTGGACACCTGTCTCAGCACACCTGCCCTGGTCACCAAGTACCTAGCTCCCAGAGAGAAGTGAGCAGGAGGGGTCTTGAAAACTAACTCAGATCGGGATTTCAGCCTGTCAAAGGAAATCCACTTCCCATGGCTTCTTCCCCTGGGAGAGCAGAGATTTTTGCATAGATGGGGGGCACTGTCTCAGAGGGGCTTTCTGTGTGCCAGGCTGGTGACAGAGCAGCCACCTTCCCTGTGATGGGAGGTCAATCAGGCTACCTCCTTGAACTCACGGGCACTGAGGAACCCCCTCCCAGGCCGGGTGCAAGCAGTCAGCACGCGGTGCGCCGTCCTGTCCGCCGGCTCACAATCTTCCTGTCTGTGCTCCATCCAGCCTCAAGCCCTTTCCTAGACGGGACGGACGCCAGGCGGCCACGGAACAGGAACCCCTACACATGGACCGTGGAGGACGTGGTCTGGTTTGTGAAGGACGCTGACCCGCAGGCTCTGGGACCTCACGTGTGGCTCTTCAGAAAGCACGTATGCAAATGGTGGACTAGCTCTGGGGCGGGGGTGGGGGTAGGGAACTTCAGGAAGCTGGAGTGTCTGAACTAATCTCTAGGAACACCCTCAAGGAAGCCAGGGATCAGAGGGACAGGTGCAGCCACAGGCTTCTCAGAGCAGAACATCCACTTTGTTTTGTCGTTCAGGGATATTTGTCCCAGGCTGATGTGTAATGACACGATCACGGCCACCACAGCCTCAATCTCCTGGGCTCAGGTGATCCTCCTGCCTCAGCCTCCTGAGTAACTGGGACTACAGGTCTGCGCCCACCCACTAATTTTTTTATTTATTATAGAGGTGAGATCTCGTCAAGTTGCCCCTAGGTTCAGGCAGTCCTCTTGCCTCGGTCTCCCGAAGTGCTGGGATGACAGGCGTGAGCCACCACGCCTGTCCCCACCTATGCTCTCGTTTGGCCTGCCAAGAGAGGTGCCTGTTCTCTGATCCATCCATTCGTGTCTCTGTGCATGCAACAAACACTGATGGCTTGCCTACAACCTGCCAGCAAACTGTCACCATACCTATTCCTAAACGGCTTTGAGAATTAAATGAGAAAAAGCACGAAACGTGTTCGGCGTGGTGCCTCGCTCACAGAGAGCCTCCAGTAAGCAGATATTATTATTATAATTATTTAGGAGAGTCTAAAATATATCACAATGGTGAAATTTTTAAAAGGTAAGAATGAACACTGCCAAGCTTGTGATGCTAGTTTTGTATTGCTGCTATAACAAACTACCACAAATGTAACTGATGAACACAACACAAACATTTTTTTGGTTTCTTGCTTTCATATTTTTAACCTTCAGGATGCTGGGGTGTCTGAACTAAGCCCTAGGGACACCCTCAGCAGAGCCAGAGATGAGAGGGACAGATGCAGCTACAGGCTTCTCAGAGCAGAACAACCACTTCATTTTGTCTTTAAGGAATATCTGTCACCCAAGCTGGAGTGCAGTGGCTTGATCACGGCTCACTGCAGCCTTGACTTCCTGGGCTCAGGCGATCCTTCCACTTCACCCTCCCAAGTACCTGGGACTACAGGTGCACACCACCATGCCTGGTTCAATTATTTTTATTTTTATTTTTATTTTTATTTTTATTTTGTATAGACGAGGTCTCCCTATGTTGCCTAAGCTAGTCTCAAACTCCTGGGCTCAAGCAGTCCTCCCACCTCATCCTACCAAAGTGCTGGGATTACAGGCACGAGCCACCGCACCCAGTCACAGATCTTTCATCTTAAGCCCTAGGCCAGGAGTCTGACATGGGTCTTGCTGGGCCCAGATCAAGTTCCTTTCTGGAGGTTCTAGGGAGAATGTTTTTGCCTTTTTCAGCTTCTAGAGACATCGTCAGCCCCTGACTCATCTCTCCCACTCTCATCTTTAAAGCCAATAACACCAAGCTGAGTACTGCTCAGACTGCCATCTCTCTGGTTCTCTCCGCTGAGTTCCCCTTCCTCTTTTAAGGATGCTTGTGATCACATGACCCAAGATCATCTCCCTACTCTAAAGTCAGCTGACCAGCAACCTTAATCCCACCTGCAGCCTTCATTCCCCTTCACCCTATAACCTAACATGCTCACAGCTTCAGATTAGGATATAGACATCTTGCGGGGAGGGGAAGGAGTGTTATTCTGCCTACCACAGTGATCGTTATTTTTTTCCTTCCTGTTTCTCATTTTATTTGATGATTCTGTTGTAGAAACCATACTCTCTAATCTGGGGAAGTTCCTCACCTGACTCGACACTCACATTTTATTAGGCATTTATTTGACCACATTTTAAAAAAAACAGGGCTTTGAGACCCAGGGCCACAGAGTGGGTTCTGTGTAGACAGATTAGGGCAGGGGAAGTCTGGCGCTCTTTCAGGGTGGTGGCAGACAGTGGGAGTCAAGGAAGCTGGGGAAAGAGAGGACAGTAGGAAATGAAGCTTCCGGGAGTGGCCCACAGATGAGATTTGCCAGCTCTGCCATTTTTGCCAACGACATGGTGAGTGACAAAGAGTGGGTGCTCCTCACCACTGGCCAGCTGGATGAGAGGGGCTGGTTACACAGTTACCTGAGTTACACAGTTACCGTGCACGGTTACCTAAGTGCTGTAACTGTGTCTCTTCTCCCCACCTTAGCATTCCAAATTTCTACCCGTGATCTCCAGTGACCTGAAAATGGCACTACAGTAAATCCCCCTACATATGAACCTTCAAGTAATGAACTTTAACGATGCACACACACGTGTTTTTAAAATGTATTCTTTCTCTCCACTAGGTGTCAGTATAGCCTGTTAAATACAGACAGTACTCTGCAGCCGATTGTGCTAGTTGGGTATCTAAGCTAACTTTGACAAATTAGAACTTACAAATGCACTCTCAGAACAAAACTCATTCATATGTTGGGGACTTTCTGTATTGATGGCAAGGTGCCCGGCCTTGCTAGCGCATGATGAACTCAGCATATTCTGCCAGGTTGCCATTTTCAGGGACAAATGGGAACCACACCAGGACCTGCAAGGACTGGCTCAGTCCCTGAGTGCTGATGTCCGGGATGAAGCAGGTGTATTATTTAAAGCAGCTCACCTGTTGTTGTCGACAGGGCTAAACACACCTGAAACCCCTCACAGAGTATAACGAGCGGTGTTGTGATCAGCTGAAGGTGGGTGCACCTGCCAAGCAAAGAAACAAGCGATGAGGGTGATAGCTGGAAATCTGGACCCCTAGTTTCAGGGTCTGATGGATGGCATGTCTTGCACCCTACCTGAGATGGGATAAGGAAATAAAACCTCACATGTGAGCCACTGGGAGGATAGGTGGGGTTACCTTTGATTCCTTCAACCAGGGTTGGAGAGGAATGTAAAAGATTCAGTGTATCAGATGACTCCAGGGAGATGATGGTGAGAGGAGCACATAGTGTTGGTTTGCTTTAATGTTTTAAAAAACGACTCACGCCTGTAATTCCAGCACTTTGAGAGGCTGAGGCGGAAGTTATCGCTTGATCCCAGGAGTTCAAGACCAGCCTGGGCAACATAGTGAGACCTCATCTCTACAAAAAATTAGCTGAGCATGGGGACATGCACCTGTAGTCCCAGCTACTTGGGAGGCTGACACAGGAGAATTGCTTGAACCCGGGAGTTGGAGGCTTGTGAGCCATGATCATGCCACTGCACTCCAGTCTGGGCAACAGAGTGAGACCTTGACTCAAAACATTATTATTATTATCATTATTATTGTAAAAGAAGATCATGCCCTTGGACAAGAGAATATGCTATCTCAGTCAATCCATAAGCCCTTCCCACATCCCCTGACCATGCCTTAACCTTAGCCACTATTTGATGACTGACAATTTTCTGGGTTTTCTCTCTTCTGATCCTGTTCCACCAGGAGATTGATGGCAAGGCTCTGTTGTTGCTGAAGAGTGACGTGATCATGAAGTACCTGGGCCTGAAGCTGGGTCCTGCACTGAAACTCTGCTACCACATCGACAAACTGAAGCAGGCCAAGTTCTGAAGGTTGGTCCAAGCTGGAAGCAAAACTCCAAACAGCAGATCTCAAGATTATCTTCTGCCTTACCAGAATCCAGTCAACAGCACGAAATAGATTCTCCTCTGAGAATGGAAGAAAGACCTGGTCTTTTTTCTAAAACTTGTGCATCTTTGCCTTTTACAAAACTCAACATAGCCCTTTTTGAAGGGCTCCTCTGTGTTAATGGTTTGCCCCCCCAAAAATAATAATAATACAAAAACCTATGATTTTTAACATTCCTGACATGTTGGTTGCTCTTAGCATGGGTCCTACTTGTATGATGAGAGCATGGACAACTGAATGTTAATACCCAAGGAAAGCCCTGGTGGGTTCAAAGGATGAAAGAACCTTTGTCCCTGTGTGCTCTGTGCGGACAGCAGCACCACCTGCCTCTGACTCTGACCTCGGGAGCTATCTGTGTCAGCCTTGCTTGACTCAGTTCTAGGGGCCATCTTCTGAGGATGACTGCCTCACCTTGCACTATCCAGAAAACTTGAATTCTTTTGCTCTCTGAAAGAGAAGGGGAAACCAAACCAAACCAAACCAAAAAACCCCCTCTATTCCTAGTTACCTGCAGTACTGTATTGCACCACTAGAGGACAGACTGCTAATGAGATTTTGGGACCCTCAAGGCTGCCGTGGCGTGATGATTCGGTCCTCGGTGGCTGGGTTAGGATTTCTGTGAACAAGATGTAGCCTACACAGAAACAGGGAATTTATTCCACAGCACCACAGATTGCAACTTGGGGAGAAACCATCATCTAAGGGGTCTAGTTTATACCCAACCATTATTGACTGACTGACTGATACTCAAGCAGTGAAGGCAAGAATTTGGAAGCACGCTCTACCCAGATGGGACTCTGGAGTCCTTTCCCTTCCAGAGTCCTTATCGAGGTGTTGAAGTGTTGGCATGCCGAAGAATCTTAGTGACATTTAGCCCTGGGTGTTTCTTTAAAAAAAGAAAGAAAAAAGAAAGGAAAAGAAAAATGTCTCAACTAAGCTTTGAAATGGGAGAGTGTTGATTTCTAGTTACATTGCTGGATTATGTAGTTGTATCTGTGGCTAATTTTTCTAGTCTTCAGCAAATACACAGACATGCTGTTATTGGGTTTAATTCCATTTACAAATAGGTTTTCCTTCCTCGCCGTGGAGTAATAGAAAAAATTGATTTTCTGCCCTTTTGCAGCTGTGTCCTGAGAAGGACGATGAATCCACAATTTACCAGGCAGGAGGTCAACCTCTTCCCCACCATTCTTATTATCCTTCCCTTTTCTCTCTTTTCCTCTCTCTCTCTTCTTCCTCTTTCTCACTGCACAGGAAACGTATCTTCAAAATGAATTCACCTTTGCGGTAGGCATATCCTCCTCCTTAGAAGAGCACCTGCAGTGCTGGAGAGGAGGAGATGATCCCTGGGAGGGTGAAGGTCAGGAAAGATTCAGGGCCTCCCTTGGCCCAAATGGGAGTGAGGGAAGGCTCACTTTCCTCTGAGATGCAGCCTGAGCAGGGTCTCAGCTGGCTAGTGGAGCAGGGTGGGACCCCAGCCCCCTAACCAACTGCCCTCATGCAGAATGTGATCTCTGTAACCTGGAGGGCGGCCCAGGGAGATTTCCATACTGCTCCTCTATAAATCAGTTAGAATTTAGATGAAGGCCGTAAGATATATTCCATGCCATGCTGCCAGGGTGGGCTACTTTGCTGTGTCATCTTTGAGACAGTGCATCCTAGCAAAACCCTTTTCAGACACACAAATGATGGCTAGACTGGGCGTGACAGAGAAGGGGAGGAGGAGAATGTTTGAAACCTGCCCACTGAGTTGAGATTGAGTTATCAGATTGTGGAAGAGCTTAACATCTGTTGATTTCAGCACATGACAAGTCCACCTTGAATCAGGTCTTGGAACAGAGACTTCAAGATTTTAGCCAGGCACGATGGCTCATACCTGTAATCCCAGCACTTTGAGAGGCTGAGGTAGGAGGATTACTTGAGCCCAGGAGTTTGAGGCTGGCCTGGGAAACATAGCAAGACCTTGTCTGCATGAAAAGTTAAAAAATTTGACAGGCATGATGACATATACCTGTAGTCCCAGCTACTTGGGAGGCTGAGGCAGGAAGATCACTTGAGCCCAGGAGATCAAAGCTGCGATGAGCTAGGATTATGCCACTGCCCACTCCAGCCTGGGCAACAGAATGCAACCACTCTGACTCAAAAAAAAAAAAAAAAGTTTTTAAGTGGTAGACTATCCCTCAAACACATGTGAATCATATGTGCTCACTGCTGGTCTGAGTTAGATAATTTCCCTCAATAAGTCATGGATTGGTTATGTATTCAGAACTGCCAGTGTGAAAGCAGTGGGATCCAGAAACCCCCACGACAATCAGGTCTTTCTCTCCATTGCTTTGACCCAATCCTCATTTCTCTGTGGTGCCTCTTCCACAGACAGATACCTCATGGAGTGACTGCCAGTATTAAGTTTCCAATACTTCATACCCACCCTCACCAGGGCCTCCCTCACCAGAAAGTCATGAACATCAGTGCCTCCCAATTAAAACTAGCACCAAACCATGCAGAGAGTCATTTTCAGACAAGAGATACATCCCCGCTTCAAGTCTAGGCGCAAACGGGATCCGTGTTAGTAGGAACGGCTCTCACAGAGGTGCTATCTCATTTCGCATTAAACTTTAAGCAGGACAGATTGCTGAAGCCATGACATTTAAGGTTTGACTTTTTAAAAATCTCATTACTCTTAAAATAAATGCTGCCATATCAGAGAATAACCTGGGGAGGGAATTCTTCCTTGACTGTTTTTGCACTGAAATGCAATTAGCCGACCGGATTATTGTAGCAATACAGCAATTATAATTAATTTCCACCCCTCTCAAAAATCTTGTCAAACCAGGCGGCTAAATAGCTTCTTGAATGTAAAACACACCGGGCTGTTTCCTCTAAACAGACCCCGAAGGGTCAGGCCGTGTGGGTCACTCTCGTCCAAATGAGAGCCTACTTGGAGGCTCACAGTTGTGCGGAGAGGGTACTTGTTATTCCGTTGCCATCGCTTCGCTTCAGGTTGTGGTGAATAATGATATAGTTTCGCATAATTCCAAATCAGAGTGTATGTGTGCATGCTCCCCCCCCACACACACATACACATGTTCCAAACATTTCCAATTACACTTCTCTGTTAAAACACTTTTAAAAAATCAAAAATGAATTCTATCATCTCAGGCATTTTTAATATTTTATGATGCATCTTATTTCCTTTGTGAAGACCTGAGGTGGAAGATGTGGGTCACTCGTGTGTGTGTGTGTGTGTGTGTGTGTGTGTGTGTGTGTGTTTTCTGACACCAGTTGGAAGAGCCGTAGGATGTGAGTGGTTGGAAGTGTATCCACTATTAGAGTGGTCCCCAACCTTTTTGGCATCAGGGATCAGTTTCATGGAAGACAGTTTTTCCATGGACCAGGGTGGAAGGATGGTTTTGGGATGATTCAAGCGCATTACATTTATTGTGCACTTTATTTCTATTATTATTACATTGTAACATATAATGAAATAGTGATACAATTCATCATACTGCAGAATCAGCAGATGACTTGAGTTTGTTTTCCTGCAACTAGACAGTCCCATCTGGGGGTGATGGGAGACAGTGATACCCAAAGTGTGTTGCTTATGTCCAGTCTACTCTGTAATCTCATTTTGGTTGCTGTCACTGCAGAAGACCCTGCTACACAAAGATAGGATTTTGGAAACAGAAGCAGGCTTTTTAGTGCTTTTGTGGCAATCTCAGGATATTCCACCTTGACTCTAATCCAGAATGTATGGAGATTTGAAGTTATCTCAAACATACTTGTAAGGCCACCATCATTTGCGATCTCAAGCAGTTGATCCCAGCACGGACAAAGTCGATTCGCCTGGCTTATTCATGAATGGGTCGCAGATCCATTCCTTCCCAGTTCAGGGGTCTTTTGTGGTTGGGAAGTAATGCTCAAACTCTTTTGAAAGCTGAGATAGGTGATCCTGCACAAGTTGGGAGGAGGAAGGCCCTGACTCAGTCTCCCAAACTCTCTGCTAATGTTTAAAACATGTCAAAAATCCCAATGTTTACTCATCACCCCATAATTCCAGTTCCAGTTCACCAGGCTGCCATCGTTTGTCTCCTGAAGAGCTGCTCAATTTGTTTGTTTCCTTTCAGCAGGAATAAAGGAGTAAAGAACTCCTCGGGGGAAGCAGATATACAGAGGGTGCCGAAAAAAATGTATACACATTTTAAGAAAGGAAAAAACTGCATTAAATGGTAATACTCTATAATGTCAACAGAAGATGAACACAAGTCACGCTTGACTTCTGCAATTACAAGAGGTGCTCAAAGTGGCTACCATCAGCATCCAGACATTTCTGATGATGGCAAACTAAAAGTAATGCATAGATAACCTCTCAAAATGTGCATACATTTTTTTGGTGCCCCTGGGAAGAGAATACCAGGCTAAGGTTGGTTTGTTGAGAAGGAAACCAGTAAGGGAAGAAGGTAAAACCGTACATTTCTCAGGAAAACAGTAAAAAGCAGCTGTTTCAATAGACCCAACCCTTCATGCTGCAAGAACTTATTTTTGTATTGATGTGCTATATGAAGTATTTCTTATTTTTTTAATTAAAATTATTTTTGAGGTTGTTTTAGGTGAATTTTGTCAAATTTCTGAAGCTAACTGAAAATACCCAGAAGGTGTCCAGGGACTCAAATGTAGTCATTATCTTGAAAGATGGAAACATTCTGCTCTCATTCTAAAAACATAGCCAGGTTTTCATATGCATAAGCAGGTGGGTGCCCCCCTGACCTTGGCTTTGAAGGGGCACCTTTCGAACTCTTCTTTCATGGGAAAAGTGGAGATTTGATCCACTTTTTTTTTGTAAAACCTCAGATAATAAGACACAGGATTGTGAAGGAATCGATTCTTTTTGAATGGCAATATTTTGTTAAGGAGAGGGGTGCAAACCCATCCATGGGTCTGATTTGTTTTTTGTTTTTTGTTCTAAACACTCCGAGGATGGTCTTGCCATGTGCCCCTGTGGCATAAGAGGACCGATTC